GAAACTATTCTTAAAAAGAGAAATAATAAAATTATATTGATTGGGTATAATTTTGCATTGCAGGGAGGAGGTCACACGGCTCCAGAGTACAAACCAGAACAATGTCTAGCCATGATAGATAGATGGCTTTCTCATTACCCTCTCTAGTTTCCAAGTATCAATTTGAGCTATTGTCATCCAAGTTGGTCCTCAATGCAAAGAAATAATAACTAAGAAATAATTAAGAGAGTATTACCTCATATATGTTCTCCTTTCGTAATAAATAGAGCATGTAGAAAGTGAAGGAGTTTATTTGATTCACTGTAACATTTTGCTAAACGAAAACTCTTCCCTAAAGTACCTTGTATTTTTGTTTGCGTGTGTATTGGACATTTCAATGAAATACAGTATCTTTACATGAACTCGCTAAGGTCGTGTATATTTTACTTAAAACCATAAGCATAAAAATCAATCAAAGGATTATGAGAGATTGTTTTATGATTTGGCTTATTGGTGTGGTCCTGGTTGCTCTGCTTTCGTTGACCCTGTTTACGAGATCGGTACATTGAACTCGCTAGAGAGTTTCACTTCTCATAAAGACAAGCCTCAAATTGTTTATTTTCAGCCACGGATGAAGTCAAGAAATTTAGTTAGGGGGTGCAATTTATTGTTGAAAATTTAAGTTTTCAAGAGTATCTTTTATGACATTAATTTATTCTTTTAAAATTTTTTTGTCTATAAAAAGATATATTTGTCTTTTTTATTGATATATTCTTAACAAAAATTAGAAACAAATGTATTTTTTATTTATAATAAAAAAATAAAATATCATAGTAATAAATTATGCAATAATCAATTGAAGAATGAATAAAAAAAGAAAAATGTATTTGTTAACTAAATTTTTAACAAATTATGAAAAAAAACACCACAAAATTAAATCATTTTGATAAACCTAAATCGAAAAAAACAAAAACAATATATTCTTAAAGTTAGAATATGAGTGTTTTGATCTCATTAAAATAATGTAGTTTTAAAGTGTTTTGATTTGATAAACCTTCGAAATGATGGTGTCGGGTAAATTCAATCTTCTTCTTGATACTTTCTGAATTTCTATAAATTTAACTGCTTACTAACTCTTTTTTTTTTTTTTAAACTATTCTATGTATAACAACTATATATTTTCGTATATCTGGGCAAATGATAAAACCGTTTAAAGGGCTCTACACATCCGTGAAGTACGTACAAATTCAATTTAATTCAAAAAATGCATGTTTTTAAGGTGGTTTGAATATTATTAAAATTATTAAAATATTATTAATAAAATAATATTAAAAAATAATTTTATTTAAACTATTTTAATAAAATTATAAATTAAACTACATTTTTATTATGTAATTTAACTTTAAAAACACTCTTTTTTTGTTAATTTATAACTAACAATAGCTTCTAATGAAAATCTGTTCCGCTGCTCGACCTTGAGTTGAGACTGCCAAACACAATGCATTAGATGATGGACTCCCCAAATTTGGGGTAGCCCTCTATTTAATGGCTCTTTTTTCGATATAATTCAAATTGTTAGAAAAGGGGGGGCGAGGGGGCAACTTTGGCTTCTAATTTCCAGTGTTTGAGGACTAGCAACTACAAATCACAATCAGGAAACAAAAGAGGAATGGGTAAGATGCAACAGAAGCTTATCTTACACATACAATATCGTAAGCACCATCGAATATCATCAAAAGCTTAGCAAGAAAGCCTATCTAGCTCTAATTTACAGGTACTAAACCAGAAACTGCAGTTAATTTTTCTGCATAGTTACTATTTGCTAAGCCTGATTTTCAGTTTCAGATGGAATATCTCCAACATAAACATTATAAACATTTGATTTTATGGTAGCGGGGATCATGACATGATTATCCCATATGTGGGCACAAACGAATGGATCGAGTCCTTGAATCTGACAATTGAAGACCAATGGAGGCCATGGTTTGTTCAGGGTCAAGTTGCAAGGTTAGTTTTTCTAAGGTTTCATTTTGCCTTTTTGTTTTGGCAATGAATATATATATAATGTTTAGTGTGATATCTAATGATAATTTGTTTGTTTGTAGGTACACAAAGATGTATGAACATGAGACATATTATCTTACATTTGCAATTTTAAAGCCGAATACAATTATCCTCTTTTTTTTTTTTTTTTTGAAATTTTGATAACAAAAGTATTTTTCAGATAAATTTGAAAAAAAAATATGAATGACGAAAAATTATTTAAATATCTTTCTAAATAAATTCTGCTTGCATATTAATTTTTTAAGTTATTTAACGAATTTCATAGGCATTTATACACTTTTTTTTCTTGCAAATCTGACTTAAAAATTTGCCACCTTTTTCAATTATAAAATGAGACTATATATAAAAAGAGAA